TATATTTTTAGTATCAGTTTCTGCTTGGCGAAATATGTCCGGATGGGAGTCGGGTAGTAAGTTCAAATGAGATTTAATCTCTTACAGGTGTCACTTAATTTCTTATTAGCCTGGCCTTGCGAGCAATTTCAAACTCGATTCGACGAAGCTTGTGGAGTTTGTTGCGGAAGATGCTGTAAAACGGAGCAGTTTTGAAACGGCTGTAAAATTGTATGATTTAGCTGAGGTATTATCCTTATTCTTGTTCATAGATATATATTACTTTAAAATTATATCGATTGTTTGTGATTCTTACTGTAGATGTACAGCGACGATATTTCACCTCACAGAATGTTATTCATCAACAATGGTAACAAATGCGTTTGCTCTTGTGGTTTCTTCTGTTGACGAATAAGATTCGGTCAGTCGAAACGTTGTCTCACTGTATTAAAAAACATAATTAATGAACAGTTACGAATGGTCATGGTTTGCGTTTACGTTCATGACTGAAGAGTTTTCGAAGCCAGTTATGTTCTAGCGATACTATTTACTTGTTTCCTTCTACCAATATTTTCCTTCGTTAATGCTTGACCTTCAATGTTAATATAAATCTGGGAAAGGGTCGAGAGTGCAAAAATGCAGAGTTCCATTTGATGTAGTTATTGCTGTAGCAGTCAGTTGCAACTAGCTGAAATTACCTACTATCGACTCCAAAACAAAGGAGTACAGATGTGAGCTGATGAAATATACGACCGCAAGCGTTTGTCCCCACAAAGCGGATGAATAAAACTGCTGCTAGCGAAAGGACCGAAGATGCTCTGTGGCTTGCTGGTAAACGTTGATTCGTTCTTCGGGATGAATAAAGGCAACGGAAGGTTATAAAAGGGCAAATTCGCACTGTCGAGAAAAGGATGAGACTATGGATGCTAGAGGGATATTAGGAGTGACCGTGTATTAGATTATGTTGTTTGCAGTTGTTACCCTTATGTGTAATGGCGTTTAATAATAGCTAGATTTTTTCTCCCTTTTGTTGCAACCTGAATTGGTTGTAATTAGAGACGGGATGTCAGGTTATGTCAAAGGTAGCTAGACTATTTTGTTTACACCTACGTTTATACTGCGCTGACCTTTAGTCAGCTGTTATAGGTGGGTGACTATTGCTACGTGAGGGCCTGGAAATCGTGCATAAGCCCGCTACACTAAGTTGAGGCGGTGGTGCCCGTCTCTCATAGCTTTCTTTTCGTGACCCAAACCTCGCCAAGTACTCAATTTCTATGAATCTGTTGGGCTAGAGGATAATTGCAGAGACGTTGGCGCTAGTTCACGATGGTTTACTTCCCGAATGAATTGCGAAACAAGTATTCACCAACAGCGCTCGAAGTCAGGAATTACACTGTAGGTCCTGCTGAAGAATCACAGTGATTACATATTGATTCTTTTATAAACCTATTAAAGGAAGATAATCATCTAAGGACAACGAAAAGTGTACAGCTTGATTTAAAACCAGTATCAAGGTCCTTGGAAGATTCCTTTGGGGAATAAGTTTGTAGTTTTAAAAAATGGCAGAAGTATTTTAAAAATTAATGAATCAATGTATGGGGTGTTTCAGAATTGTTGAATTCAAAATACTTTAGCAGTTGATTAAACTGGATAAAGGACTAGTGTTATTTGGCTCTACCTGTATTTCCAATTTTAGGATGATACCAGGGCGCTGAACATACTGTCAGATTTGCTAAGCGAGGTCGCTTCCTTGAAAATATCATCTAATGGCCGTGCAGACAGAATCGTTACCCTTGCGCGGGATCTCAACTGCAGGTAAGAGACAGAACTGTGCGTTACATAAAATATGCTGCAGTGCATGGTCGTATAGGTCATATTCATCAGGTACATAAGCATAGCAGTGGTCAGCTTATTGCAAGTTAGAAGTTGCCGATTAGTCTGGTGTCCATATATTTGCGTA